GCAGTAGGTCAGATTCTGATCTGAGTAAGTTCAGCATAGATCTGAAGTAATTGCATATATTTAATTCAAATTAAAATAATGGTGATCAGGAATCTAACCTGAATGATACTATCAACAAGTAATAAACATCCATCCTTGATTCAGTGAGCTACTTAAGCATTCCTTAGCATGACGGATTTCAGTTAGCCATCCAGTTTCCAGACTACTTGGCAGACTTGAAGTATAGCCTTAAGCATCTTACTGAATCAAAACCTGATTGTTCTGGTGTGGGTGATTGTGCTAGTTATTGAAGAATAACTAAAACAACATACTCAGTCTGCAATATAGACAGGCTGGACATGAAAATTTATAGTAGTAGCTGATAGCATGTGAGCTGACTATATCATCTCCCTAGATCTCCGTTCCTCCCCAAGGCCCAGCTAAAGCTCCCAGTGAAACCTGGCTTCAGGAATTGACTATGGGGATATACAGCCACCACTGTGGAGCTGAGGCTGCGCTTTAAGTGTTTCATAACTTCATCATAGATTTGTGGGGTAACTAGTAACACTGGTGCAAAGGAAGAGTGACACCACTTCTCCAGTGGAGTGACATTACTTGGCATTCAGATTGGCATAACCAAGAAGCCAATTTTGCCCTGACAGTGTAGTTTTCACTGAGGGGCTTTGGCAAGTAAAAAAAACCACAAAAAACAAAAAACCCCAACCCTGACACAGGACACGGTCTGTAGTAGCAGTCTGCATTTTTGTAAATTCTGCCATACAGAATTTATATCAAAACTGCTATTACCCCAACCCACACAGGACACGGTCTGTAGTAGCAGTCTGCATTTTTGTAAATTCTGCCATACAGAATTTATATCAAAACTGCTATTTTACAATTTAACAACTTTGTTTAAGGAAAAAAAAGACAAGTGTGTGGGGGGGTGAGGGGGTAAGAACAAAAAAGAGCCCATTTACAATGGCTAGAACCGGGGCAAAGGCTTCATTACATGACTTTTCACTGTTTCTAGGATTTTCCTGCATCTCATTCTTCTAGCATGGTGATAACTGCTGTGTGTCTCCTTTAAAGAATGGAGCCTCTGTCTGTACTTTTACTGGAATGTTTACCTCACATTTCCATGTTGGTTCTTCTTGGCTTTTTTTGTATATTTTTTCCAAAACAGATGCAAAAAAAAATTATCAAAAAACCAAAATGTGTAGCCTGGTCTCTGTCATTTGCCTGTGACACAAAGAAAATTTGGGATGTCTACTTGTGTCTGGTCTTGCGGTGTTTCTTCCAGGTTGTTATTTTCTTCTGACTCTGCTTCAGTCTTAGGAATATAAGGATCAGACTTGGGCCATGCAGGCTTTCTGTGACCATGAGGAACCATCAATAGTGTTCTGGGTCCTTCACTACAACTTTGATCCAAATTCCACAGGGAAAATTTCTGCTGAGTAAATTTGGCTGTGGAACCGGTCCTTGTTCTGCTGTGTTAGGAGAATAATGACATGTTAGGAAAGCTTATCAGCAATGAATACTCCATTCAAGATGTCCAGTCAGCAGCACCTAAGTCCACTGCAAAGGGTTAGCAAGGGGTTGAATTCTAAGATAAAAACTTAATGTTCTGTAGCCTAGTTTTTGCAGCTGTGGACTCTGGGGTTGTGTTCCTCCCAAGTGTGCTGTTACCACAGCGTGAATCTTGTGTTCTTGGTCAATAGCTTCCACGGAACTGGTCGTGATGTTGTCCCCCTCTGCTTATCCTCTACCGTGATAGCGTGGGCAGTCTTTCTGAAGGTGGAAGATGTGGTTTTGAGTTTCTTCTCCATCCTCCAGGTTGAAGGAGGATTTGAATCTCAATTTTCCACTTCCTGAAGGACTGCCTTATCCTTCCAGTTATAATGCAGCACAGTGAGAGGCACCTCTCTCCACTTTGAAATAAGCAAGTGAGTCCTGCTCTCCCCTCTGACATGATATGTAGGGATGCCTACACCCAAGAGAGGTCTACAGGTAGATGCAGATCCACAGGGGTGTGTGTGCTTGTTTGCAAGTGCCTAAGTTCTGGATGACTGGTTAGATGAAGCTATACCTATCACACACATTCACTGCATTTCCTCTTGGCTAGCTCTATGTGTTTGCTACCATTTTAGATTTATAGTACCCTCAGCCTTTTCCAGTTGACAGATAACCCTCTGCACAGGCAGTCTAAACCTAACAGCCCATTGCTTTTCCCAGGTACCTTTCCCTTCAGGAGCAATGTGTGTCCACCTCTTGGAATCTGTGAGCCAGTGCAAAATCAGTCTTTAGGTAGCCTTTCGATTCCCCCCACACACACACTTTTCTGAGGCACATCATTCTCTATGTGCTGTGTACAGTGAGCTTGGGCAGCTAACGGTGGCTTCTGTAGTCCAGTCTGATGACCAACTGTGTAAAATAAACGTGTTGCAGTGGCTAGCTTTTCATGATGGAGTTAGATCACCGCTTAAGACGGATGTATGGCCCTTGGGCTGTGTGCAGTTTCATGCACTTCAGGTATGAACCTGGTCTAGGTAATATGACTGGCAGCAGTGTCTGACGCCCCTGCCTGGGGGTCACCCAGCTGGATGGCTGTGGCCTCTCTCTGTCCCCCAGCTAACTCCCATCTGACAGGGAAGTGGGTATCCCTGCAGAGCTGTTGTTCTCGCTCCTCCTGATGTGCAGATTGTGCCTCTTGGCTGCGCGAAGGCCCTGGAACCTGACTCGGTATCAGGAAAACCATCTGCCCCTGCCTTAATTGAGTACCCGTATGGAAGGAAAATTGCACATCTCATCGAAACCGGAGGTCAGCATTAGAAATAAAATGTTCAGCCTCCCCCAAACTTGAATGGGCAGACTTTGCTGATGCCCCCACAGGCTGGCAGATGTGGTGGTGTAGGACAGCCTCCCTCAGCTGGTTGTACGCATGCAGGAGCCTCTTTGTAGTGCACCGCAGCTTTCTCTCATTCATGGAGACACCGGTCCACCCAGTCTCTCTGTTAAAAAATGCCCTCCTAACCTGGCTTCTTTACACTTTTGATCTTCTCTACTGGTTCTGCCTAAAACAAATGAAGATCAGCCCTCCTGCAAATGCATGGGTGGGGCTTTTATTTATTTATAATTGAATTTGACAGAAATTAGGTACTTTTGAAAGCCCAAGGATAAAAAAAAAGCGTTTAAGCACCTAGAAGTCTTAGCCCTTCCATGGCACAGGTGTTCTATGCAAGACTTTGATCTCATTTCAGACTTCTGCTTTTTCAGCTCGTTACAAGCAGTTAAAAGTTTTGCATCTCAAATGCCCACGCCTCCTCTTCTTCCCTTGTATGTTAGCCGCTGCAGCTTCTTGCACAGGTGTGCTGATGAAGTGAGGTTTGCGCCCAGAGGGACTAAAGTATCTCAGATTAGGGAAGTCTCAATTTGACACAACTCAGACACAGCAAAACACGAGACAAAGCTGTTGTCATGCTCTTTTCTTGCCTATCCTCCTGTTTTTCAGTCTTCTGTTTTTCACTCTCTCTTCTGATCATATTACATAAGCTATGAAAGTTAGATACTGGGAGAGAGACAGAAGCGGGGGATGAGCAGAAAATGCAACTACCACTGAAAGTGTTTTTTTAGATAATGAGTACTGAGTAAGAGGAAGCAAGGAGGTGTAAGTATCTCTCCTTCGATGGGAAGAAGACATAATTTCATGAAAAAACCACTTCCAATTCATTGCTCCCAAACAGCCTCTGAGGCAGACAAGATGACACAGATTTAGCTGTTTATCACGGTGTTTCTCCATAAGCTACAGGGATTTGTGAACAGCCAGCCTTCCACAGTGACCAGTGAAACATCCCCAGTTCCCTCACGTTCACCCTGCAATGGAACATGTAGTAGTACTTACGCTATTCTGTAATTCCCCAGGACTCAAAAGGAGGAAAGAACAGGTTTCTTAAATTTCTTCAGAGCTATGAGAAGAAAGCAGCACATGAGAAGTTTGCTGAATAAAGAGACTGAGCACTAACACACAAAAGCAGCAGTTCCTAAGCATGCTTCAGGTATTTGTGCACTAAAAGAAACCAGGGGAGCAAGGGTTCAGGAGAGCGAGAGGTATAACCAGGGTATTTCTGGATCATTCCCAGAAATACCACACATAGAGAATCTAACCTCACTGTAAACAACCTCTTTTGTAGAAAACATCCACAAAGTACCAGGCACTTCTCAGACTGTTACAGATTTTTTATTTTCTCGTCTGCCTGACTTCACTGCTTGCCTCCTCTGATTAAAGGCAAACCTACATAATCAGTTACACAGAAGAAAAACTAACATATAGGTATTGTATGTCTTTCTATAGCTACATAAAAACTAACACATCAGAAAAACTAACTAACAGCTATTAGAAGGATCAACGGAACTTATAAAAATCGGGTCCTTCAACAGACATGGAAGAATTCTACAAGCTGCCTTGATGGCAGCTGTTTTTATAGGGCTGTTGGAGAGTTCACCATTACTGAGTTAAGAGATTTCAGAATTCCACTTGGCACTATCTTCACATAGCAATTTTGAGTAGAACAAGTGATTTTACTTAAGAGGGCACCTGTGATGGCTTTTAGAAACATTATTGCTGACAGGGTCTTCTTTTCGATCTCAAGGAAAAAAATTTAAAAAAAAAGAAAAGAAAAAAAGATGCTGGCTTACCTCCCCCCTCCTTCCCCAAGAGTTTGCTGGCCCAGCTACTCTTGGTGGCTGAGTTGAACAGGGTGCCCTGACATAACCAAACTGCACTCGCAAAAGCCCGTAACACAGTTCAGAACTGAGGACAAGAATTTTAAGAGGCGCAGGGAAGAAACTGGGGAGTTGGTCCCCCCTGTTATCCCCACTGGACCCTGTTAACTGTTGGGCAGCATGGTAAAGGCCAGAAAGCATACATCAGTACCATTACTGACCACGCTGCGTCACTGTTTCACAAGGAGAACTTCTGCTCTTTTTTCCATTTTATTATATAAAACAGAAACAATGAAACCTGAGGACAACTAAATGAACTTTTATTAGTGATATTTATATATTCGGTTGCTACCGCAATGAAAGGGCTCTGCAGTCCTGCCTTAAGAACACAAGCAGAGCAAAGCGATGCTTCATGGTGCGACTCACTGCTCCCAGGTAATCTTCACGTTTGGGGGTAGCTCTGCAGCGCACAGTTCATCGAACTTGGACGCATCCTTCACGGGAGTGCTATAGAAATTCAGGACATCCTCAGCACTGTGCATCAGGTGGAGCTGTGAATTGGGGACAGCATGACCAAGTTCTGCTGCCAGCTGAGCCAGGAGGCGATACTTTAACCTATTTTCTTTGAGGGGTATCTGCTGCCAATTATCAGGAAGCGAGGGTCCAAAAATCTCCTTGACATGAGACTCAAGGCAGCTCTGTATATCCTCCGGAGGAAGATAGTTTCTGCTGCGTGGTGGGGGACAGATCAGGCTGGGTTCACTTTTCTCTTGATGAATTATTTTGTCTGCTTCTACTTCTTTTTCCTTCTTCCTGTTGACACGAGAAAGAAATCTTTTCAGTCTCTGGGCTACTTCAGACTGAGTCAGAGTACACTTCTATTCACAGTCTTTTAATATTGGACTCAGCCGAGCCTGTAGAGAGTTTACACACCCTGTGGACACAGCAGGTTCATTATGCATGCAAGAACAAAAGCGCATAGGCTAGACCTTTGGGTTTCCCCCAAATGCTGCCTGCCACATAGGTTGTCCCTACATAGCGATCACCTGCCTAGCTTATTTTATTGGTCTGAGTGTAAACAGAATTTTAACCAGATTAATGACTTGTTTTCCCAGTTACAGCTCCATTTTCCAACCTGCTGTGACAAAAAGGATAACGGGAAATAACCACTACTATAGAAAAAATACGATCACTAGTTTTAATTAGAAAATTGAAGCCTACCCCAAGCTACTTGACTTGCTCCCGTGCCACAATCTAGTCAACAAGACAAGCATGGTTTCACCTAAAAAGTTATACAGAAACGACTGTTTTCCATCCCCATTGTAGTACTGCCCTGAAACATCTCTTCTTCCACACTTAGCAAGTTCTCTTACCAAAGCAGGTAAAAGCATTAAAAAACGTAACTCCGCACCGTCACACCCCCCTGCTAGCAGCGCACCCTCGGCAGGGACGCGACGAGGGCCTTCCTTGCACACCCCGAGTCCTGCGACCCAACACGCTCTCGACTGCTCCACGAAAACCAAGCACTGAGGACGGCAGGTCTGAATGACCAGCCAGCCTCCCGACCGCGGCACAGCACCCTCCCCTGCGGGGGCCACGGGGACACCGCGCGGGCCTGCCCACCACCACCCCCAGCC